GGTGCCACATGGAACCCAACGCCATAGAATACAAGGTGAAGGATGCCTCAAGGTTGCATATCCTTGAGTCTGCACCTTGCAAATAAGAATGGCTAATGCCATGTATGTCAGCTGTACTCAAAAAAAAAAAAAAAAAAAAAGGAAGGAAAGAAAGAAAGAAAGAAAAGAAAGAAAAAAGAAAAAGAAAAAACAACAGTTATGTCAACTTTCAGATGTGGAACCAAGATACCAACAGGGTTCTTGTGAGGACAGAGATTATGCCACATAAGGCGCTGAGCAACCTAAGTGCACAGTAGGAATGGCAGTATAATGGGACAAGGAGGCAGCCCTCGGAGTGAACAGTACACACCCCCCCAGACACCTCCTGCACTGAGAAATCCCCCAGGCCAGTTCCAGTTCTTGTGTGGACCCGGCCAGAGTGAGTGGAGACCCCACCTCATAACAGCCCTGATAGCAAGGCCTCTGTTTCCATCCCCTACGGGGTCTCCTTGCACATCTCAGTTTGGCCTCATGGCAACCACAAAGGCTACTAGACACCTTGGCGGCAGGCTAGGTGAAGAGGTTTCAATTTATTTGGGGGTTTGCAGCTGACTAGCCAAGAAATCCTCAATGGAATCTCTCCCCCAGCCTGGTTTTCCAGTCTTGGCCTAAAGCAATTGACCCTGTCTTTATCTTGCCTCCTAGGGTGACTTTGATTCAAGAAATATTGAAAGTAATCAATTCAACCAACTTTATTTGTGAAACAAGGAAATAAAAGCTACTCCTCTTAAGAAAGCAAGCAAGCATGCGAAAAAGAAAGCAAGAGAATTGAGTATATATTAGGCACAGTAGAGAGGAGAATGTCAAGGTAAACAAGACAGTCCCTAGCCCCAAGAATGTCACAGAAGACTTAGCTGAGCTGGTGGAATGCTGGGACTCCAAGGTCCATGGCATGGCAGGTGTGTGTGTGTGTGTGTGTGTGTGTGTGTGTAGAATCACCTTCACTTGACATTTGGGCCCTATGGGATCCTGCTCCCCGCAGAGCCCTCAAGCAGGAAACCAGTGGCTTCATTGCCCACTTTGGGAATTCAGCTATTTCTCCAGGCAGGGTCCTGCCTCTCATCACTTTTCAACGGGCCCAGTTGGCTGCAATTCTGCAACTTCCAACACAGGATTTAGTCAAGGGATCCTGCTCAACTGGGGACAGAAGTTCACCTTTTAATTGCCTCTAACGCCCTCTCTCCAGCCTGGTCCTCCACATCAACAATCCCATCCTCTTCGCTCTGTCTGCTCAGTGAACTCGGAGGTATGGCAGACCCCTTGCTTCCTCTATCTGATTTACAGCGGGGCCCCTAGGCCCTAGCTCAGAGCTGGTAAGGTGCTCAGTGAATGGATGGGAGAATGCATGAAGTCCTTCCACGGAAGTTGAGCACACTCATGCTTACTCTAGGAAGATCTTCAGATGCCCACAGTTTTTCTCCAGAAGAAATCACCACTGTTCTCTCTCGCCAGGGACCCCTACTCCTGACCCCTTTATCGTTCATTTATTCATTGGGCCAATATTTACTGAGTAGTTCTTCTGAACTAGGCACTTTATCCTGTGCTGCAAGGCAAGTGTGGAGTTCTTCCCACCCATACAACTCCCTCTTCACCCTCTGAGCCCTCTCTTCTCCCCTTGCCACCACACTCCCTGTCCAGGGCACTTGCCCCCTGCCTTGTTCTGCCTTTTACACGAGGATCCCATATTTGGACTTCTTTGACCCTGCCAATCTGCACTGGACTTAAGGGAGGGAGGAGGACTCCCAGTCTCTAACATCTGCCCTCAGCCCATCCTCCCACCCCATCCCAGGACATGTCCCAGCCAGGCTCTGCCCAGAATCCCAAGCCACCCAGCCTCCTGGAACAGCCCTGAACCTTGTTGTCTCATTTCAGCCCCTGGGGTCCCTGCCCATGGGCGTCCTGCTGAGTCCACCCGGTGCCCGGCCCCCAGCGCCCTGGCCCCTCGGTGCTGCCTGCGGCGGGAGCTGCCAGCTTTTTGGAATTCCTAATGCTCCTGGCCCCGGTGATTGGCTGCTCAGCTCTGACCCCACTTGGGCTGCCGCCTGGTTGGATAAAAAGGGAATCTCCTTGGGGCTCCAGAGCATTAGACACCGGAGGGGGCACCTGGGACCAACTTCGCGAAGCGGGGAGCCCGGCGGGGGGGTGGGGGGAGCAAAAGACCTGCGGCCTCAGCCCCTCCAAAGAGCCGGGAGATGACGGGGAAAGCGGGGGAAGCGCTGAGCAAGCCCAAATCCGAGACAGTGGCCAAGAGTACCTCGGGGGGCGCCCCGGCCAGGTGCACGGGGTTCGGCATCCAGGAGATCCTGGGTTTGAACAAGGAGCCCCCCAGCTCCCATCCGCGGGCTACCCTCGACGGCCTGGCCCCCGGGCACTTGCTGGCGGCGCGCTCCGTGCTCAGTCCTGCAGGAGTGGGCGGCATGGGGCTGCTGGGGCCCGGGGGGCTCCCCGGCTTCTACGCGCAGCCCACCTTCTTGGAAGTGCTGTCCGACCCGCAGAGCGTCCACTTGCAGCCGCTGGGCAGAGCGTCGGGGCCGCTGGACACCAGCCAGACGGCCAGCTCGGGTAGGTGAGGGCGAGGCTGCCGGGCTGCCCGACTGGGGGGCGAGAGCCGGAAGCCCCACGCCGTCGGCTTTCGCTTGCACCGCAAGGCCTCCTCCCCGCGCAAAAGTTCCCGCCAGGCCGAGGGGTCGCAGCTCCGGCCTGGGGCCGGCGCGCCCGCCTGCTTTCGGCCCCGGCGTTTCCGGCCTCCGCGCCGTTCTCTGGTCCCCGCGTCGGGCCCCACTCTGCCGCGGCGCCGGGTGGGGGCCCCACCGTAAACCCCGCTTGGGGTGTCGGGGCCCGTGGGGCGGGCTGAGCACCCCCCCCCCAGCTCTGCTGCTCCACTGCGGCTCCGGCCTCCCGGAGGACCCGCGCTCCGGGAGCCGATTCTGTTCCGTGTGCTGGCGGCCCAGGAAGCGGGTGCCCGCTTCGGCCCCAGCCCTGGAATCCAAAGTTGTTGTTCCTTCCTCTTTTTCGCCGTTCCACAACGCCCACGTTGGTCAGCTGGGGTTTATTTTTCACCCCACGAGCTTGGACACTCTGGCCTCTGCGGCGGCAGGAACGGCCACCATCCGATTCCACCTAAACGCCACAATCTATCGGATGCCCCTCCCGGCGGGCTCGGGGGCCCCGGGATGACCCCACCGAGCCCTCCCTGGACTGCTTCCCCGGCCGTGCGTCCCCACCCTCTCGGCCTCCGGCTTGGGCTCGAGCTCGTCAGTTCCCCCGATTTTTCGTTATCTTTGTATTTATTTATTCATTTATTTATTTGTATTTGGAGGGGCAACGAAAAGTGGCGCGTCGCAGCCTCTCCAGCCTCGAGCGGGGGCGCATTCTGCAGGCACTGAAAAAGGGGCTGTGCCCGGGGAGACTCCAGCGCTTCCCCGCGCCCGGCTCCCTGCGCCCGGGTTCCGCTCCCCGGGGCCAACTTTCGGGCCCGGGGCGCCGGGGCTGCAGGCGCGGGGCAGGGCGCAGCGCCGGATCCCCTTCTGCCGGCCCTGCGATCCCCTGAGGCCGCCTCGCTCCACCGCCGTCCCTGCCCCAAGCGCTTTGGGGCCTTTGCCTCTCTTACAACGAAATCTGTTCAAAATCTCCGGATTCGGGCGCCGGCGTGGGTAGAGCCAGCCGGGGCTAAGGGATGGGGTCGACCTCTTGGAGGGCTCCCCCGGCAGGCAGAGCAGGCCCCCGCCGCTCCCGGAGGCGGCCCCGGGTGGGGCCCTCGAGGGCTGCCGGCGCCTGACGTCCCCGGCGCTGCCAAGCGCGCCCCCCATTCTGCCGCATGTGCCTCCGCCCGCTTTTCAGATTCTGAAGATGTTTCCTCCAGCGACCGAAAAATGTCCAAATCGGCTTTAAACCAGACCAAGAAACGGAAGAAGCGGCGACACAGGTAAGGCCCCTGCGGCGCTTTCTGTTACCTCTTTTGCTCACCTTCTCCCTGCCAGATCCTGTTTGGGGGTCGGGTCGCTCCAACCTTATTCCCTCCGACTCCTAAGTTAGAAGTCCAAGGCTGCGCCAGGGCCGGGGAGACCGAACGTTGTTTGGGGACATCCGTCCGGAACCCTGGCGTCCAGCCACACCAGGTGAGGATGGTGTGTGGCCGCTGGGGAGGCGGCACCGGCCGGGCTTTTTCCTTCTGCGGGAGAAAGGAAAGGCCAAACCAGGGCCGAACCGGAGGAGCCAGAGAGGGGCAGGCGGCCCCAGATTCGATCCAGGCATCAGCGCCTGCGGAGAGCCGCGGGGCAGAGCGGCTCCCACCTCCCGCCCGAGCCGGCCCCTCTGCCCGCTGCCCCCGGGCCCCCATTCGGCTCCCCCCCGTCCCTGTCCGCTCTGCCACACCCCTAACCTTCTGCTCCCACCGTGCCACACATCCTGAGCGTGACATCTCTGCACGGACGGGAATTTTTCGTTAGGCTTCTGCTCTTTTGTGATCCTGAGGGGTCTCTTCCCTTCCGTGAGCCTCAGTTTCCTTGTCTGTAAAATGCGGAGGGAAAGTGTGTGGACTGGATGACCCCACCAGCCCCAGCTGGAGTCGAGTGGGCTGCATTGGGGTACCGGCTACAGAGAAAATTTTTAAAAATAAGTCTTCAAATAGGCATTACTGGTATAACTTTAAAATTCAATAGGTGCTGAAAGGTATATCCTGAAAAGTAACACCCCACCCCAGACGCTAATTCCCTTTCGCCTCCACACCACAGCTACTAGTTCCTTGTAGAAATTTATGAGGTGGTTTTAAGGCAATAAAGAAGCCAGAACCAAAAATCTGCCTGACTTTCTGCGAGTGCAGCTTCCAGACTCCTCCCTTGTGCTCACCCTCCCCCCATCTGGTTCCCCAAATCTCTCCCTGTGCCGCAGTCCAGGTGGGGTGTCCACAAGGTTCCTGCTGGCTCGCGGGTCATTTCTCCCCTGGGGAGCTCCCCGGGCTGCCACCCACCCCATCCTCTTCTCCCCAGTTTGTTCCCAGACTCTTCGCACCCTTTCTCCTGGCACCTTTCTGCATTCTCCTCTTCCTTAGCTAGCCCTTGGCAACTCCACTGTTGGCGCCCACCTTATAAAATGGCACTTCCTGTCCTCTACGGCGCCAGTGGGTTCGGGCTGGAACGAGGGTGAACTTTGACTTGGTTTCTCAGTGACCTCGTTTATTCATTCCCTTCAGGCAGCATTTTTGTTGTGTTTAGCTTTGTTTTATTTTCAACGGAAACGTTGATCCTGGGTCATTTTTTTACATTCATTCATCCAACAAATATTCGTTAGAGCATCTTTTATGCACCCATCTCATGCTGGTCCCAGGGTGGGTAATCCCATCAGCTTCCCCCCACCTCACCCCTCGATCAGGGGCAGGGACGAGGACCATGGAGGGAGGACAGGTCAGAGCTGGGGCTGCTGCGCTGGTGCGGAAATGGGGAGAGGGGTTCACACAGCAAGGAGAGTCCAGGAGAAAGCATCCCCTGGGTGCTGAACAGTGTTTCTGCTCCAGGACATTTCCTCATGTGGCAGCTGGAGCTGGCTGACCCATAGCCCAAAGTCTCTGCTTGAGGCTCCTGACTGCATCCTCCCCGGATGCTCTCCCCACTGAGGAGATGTTTGGGGGTTCCCAGTGAGACAGCACAACTCACCACCTGCCCTAGGTTTCAGGTGATTTCTGATGTATGAAGAGAGCAGATTATTAGAGAGATCAGAATGGCTACTGATGGCCGGTGCAGCTTTTAATTAGTAATAGATAGATAGATAGATAGATAGATAGATAGATAGATAGATAGATTTTTTTCCTGAGCTTCTCTCATTTGGGGATTTCAGGTAAGAGCCCCTGGAGTCTGGTAATGAGAGATGGGCATCTCTTTTTCTCCCAGAAACACGCTGGGCTTAGTAAGGGTCGGAGAGGGGAGTAGGGATGGAGACGCAGCCTTGGGAGTCTCTTGGATTCTGGGCTTCTGCTCACCTCTGCCCTGGGAAAGCTCAGGTTCTCTGCAGACAGGATGCAATGGGCACCTGAAGAGTCTGGAGTTCTGCATTAAGCCAGGAGCAGGGTTTGGATCACATTTGGGGGATGCAGGAGCCTCCCTGGAGGAGCACACCAACATCAACCCACAGATTAGCTCTGAGGCAGGAATGAGGGAAAGTTTAGGGGATTCCAGGTTTTGTTTTGTTTTGTTTTTTCAGTGAGAGCCCTCCCAAGGGGAGACTGGCACTTGAATGACCTCTCATCCTCTCCCTTCTTTGGCTTTGGCCAAGCCCCAACACCTGTGTGCCTTGATTTCCCTAGTTGTGAGAAGACTTACATACTTTGATTGTTTATTTTGACAATCTGTTCAGGGGCCCTTCAGTAAGTGGCAAGAGCAAAATAGAAACCAGCAGATCTTCAAAATTCTGAAGAATTCAATTTCTGTGTACATAAACATTCCATTCCCCCCTCCCAGGAGAATAGGAGAAACAATTTAGAATCAAACCAGTCATTTTCTATAAAGGGCAGAATCTTTTTTCCTCACACATCCCCTGTGTCTTCCCCCAAGATATTAAAGCCGACACCAGCATAAGGACCCACTGGGGCTTACACCTGTACTTTTCCCTTGTGTTGGGTGAGGGTGAGAGCGAGGGCATCAGTGAAGGATTCTAACCCCGGGTGCTGGTCCCCAGGGTCAGATCCCAGAGGCTCAAGCAAAGAACGTACCATTTTTACAAGCTAGGTTTGTGGAATCGGGACTATATTGCCCACTGACTTGATAAGGGTACAGGATAAAGGTCACTTGGAAGTTGGTGAAATTAAGTCTGAAAAAAGAGGAATTGGTGCCCATCAGTGGGTGTGTATGGTTTATGGGGAAAGGGGGGTCTGTGCTGCCCCTGATATTGGAGGTAAAATTTTGTGTTGGAGCATACTCATTTGCACATTGTCCTAGGGCAAAATGATGTAGCTTTTACCTGATTCTTAAAACAGGTTTGGACCCAAATAGGTCAATGTGGACTGCTCTGTGGGGAGTGGGGACTGTGTAGGCAGGCTCTCTCACAGTGACCTGAATGGGGTGCCCCCTTGATGAGTGGCTGAGCCTAGGTGTGAGGTGGTTGGGAGGTGCTCCTTGTCTTCTGAGCACAGGAGGTGGAGGGGGGATCTGAGGGCAGCTCTAAGGAGCTCGTAGCTCTGGGTGGTGGCAGGGGAAGGGCAGATGAAGAGGGCAAAGTGTTGGGGTGCGTGGGGAGGTGGGAGATTCGATTCTCAGCCGTTCAAACACTGGGGTTGCAGTTGCATTTGACCTTCTGGTGGGTCTTTGAACGGGGGTGTCATTTAAAAGATCAACTTCTGTCTGTGAGAGGAAACTGGGAAGCAGGTCCCAGTGGGCCTGAGGCATTTATTTATCTGGTGAGTCGCTCACTCTGTGCTCGGGAGGAAGATGAAGGGCTTTCTGCAGTTTTCTAAAATTTTTGTCCTCAACACCCTTTCCCCCAAATCACTTCCAGAAAGATTCCCAGTATGAAATGTCACTGAGGTCTAAAGTAATGTCCTCCTAAGAAGGGTAGTGTGGATCCTCAGCCTTGAATGAAGACGAGTCTAGAGGGTTAAGCTACGAGTGTGCGTGAACACATATGAGCGTGAGTGTGTGTGTGTGGTGTGTGTGTATGTGTGAGAGAGTTCGTGTCTGTTTGTGCTGAGCCAGCCGTGGGTTTGGGGTCTGTCTAGGACACATAGAGGAGGGTCATTCTGTCCTCTCTGGAACAGTCTCTTTCAGTTTCTGGGTCCTGAGTGTCTGGTTTTGTTCCCCTAGGACAATCTTTACTTCCTACCAGCTAGAGGAGCTGGAGAAGGCATTCAATGAGGCCCACTACCCAGATGTCTATGCCCGGGAGATGCTGGCCATGAAAACGGAGCTGCCAGAGGACAGGATACAGGTAACAGAGCCCCGAGTCCCTCTCTCTCTTTCCACACCCTCTGAGGCACTGACCGCCCCAGGCTCCTGGATACCCGTGACCCCATCTCCCATCCCCCTGCTATGGGTCCTTATGAAGAACAGTTCGGTTAAGCCGACAGGTATTTGCTGAACACCTACCACGTGAGGTGGGCACTGGGGGGGGGGGGGGCGGGCAGGACAAGAGACTTAGAGGGTGTGGTCGGCCTGCTGTTCCAGACTGTAGGCTTCCTGAGGAGTAGGTCAGGCAGACCGTGAAGGGGCCTGTGGTGGGACAAGGAGTTCTGGGTGAGTCATGGGTTCTCAGGGAGGTCTCTGTTGTGGCAGATATCTCTTAGGTACAGCTAAATGTCTGCTCCAAGGCCAGAGGTGGGTAGAAGGGGAGAATGACTTCTAGCCCTGACCCCATTCTGTTTTTCTTCCTTCCACTCCCCTGACCCATGAAGAAAAGGTCATCTCTCCCTTTCTGTCTACTCCCCACCACCTCCATCCTCCTGAAACTCCTTCCTCACACAGTCAGGCAGCTGGCCCTGCCCTGAGCTTCTGCTTGGGTCTGGCCTGGGGTGTGGCTGGGGACGCTTGCCTGCAAGTGGGGCTCAGTAAGTCCTCCTCCCCTCCTATACAGAGTTCCTTTTTGTTTGTTTGAAGATTTTATTTTTAAGTAATCTGTACACTCAACATGGGGCTTGAACTTACAACCCCCAGGTCAAGAGTCGCATGTTCCTCTGACTGAGTCAGTCAGGCACCGCCCCTCTCCTAGAGCCTTCTGTGGCATAACCGACCCCTGGTCTGGACTGGGATGTTCTCAGCTGTGGGCTCAGGGCTTCCTTTCATCAGCAACAAGACCTTTCCAAGGCCAGAACCCCCCTCACTAGGCAGGAGTGGGTCTGCTTAATGGTTTCTCTGGGAGAAGCTGAAGTCTGATGATTTTCTAGATAAGGCCTTCATGAAGCAGAAGAATCGAGTTGGGTAGGAGGAACATTTCCAGAAGATTTGGGTTTGCCTTAACAGGATCACATCCTTAAGTGAAAGCTGTTTCCACCAGTGGAATGGTCCAGAGCAGTTCACTGCTAAGGCTGGAAAAAGTAAAGGGAAGCTGGGGTCCCGACTTCCTGAAACACCCCCCGCCCCGGTCAAGAGCCCTTGGAGGTGGGACATGTGTTGGGGGGAGAAGAAACCAGATAAGTTGTGGGTTGCTTCCCTCACTGGACGACCAGAGAATTGGAAATGAGACATGAGCTACTTTTCCAGAAGGGTCTTCCTCTCCCTCGGAAATCTATTAGGAATTTCAGCCAGTGGCTTTAGACATTGACACAATAAGCTCAATTATTCATAAGCAGATTATCTGTTTGGTGCATTATCCATGGTGGCCTGGATCCATCACCCCTCCACCCAGTTGGTTCCAGTGGGGTAAGCCTGGGGTGTTGATTCTGAATCATGTGTGTGTGTGTGTGTCAGCCAAGCCCAATCCAGTCAGTGTGCAGGGGTAACCCCTACCTGGCCTTCGTTTGCACAAAGTTGGCTATTACAAGTGGCCGGGGTGGGGTGGAGGGCCGAAAAACTCTCCTGCTGGTAGGCCTCACACTGGCACTACCGGGACCAGTAGGAAGGAAGAGCTGTGTCTTGCGGTGGACTGTCCTAAAATCTGTCCGGCCGCGGGGGCGGTGGGTGGGAGGGCATGAAGGGTTCTGGGGAAGGCTCTGGCTCAGCTGTTACTGCATCGCCACAGATGCCCCAGCAGGCAGATGCCAGGCTTCGTTCAGTTGCCTGGGGGTGGGGGACATCTGTCGGGTGGTGTCTGAAGCCACAGGAACCAGCAAGGAGGAGCTAGGATGTGGAATAAGTTGATTGCCCTGGGACTACGAGGACTGTAGATCTGGGAGAATGGAGCCGAGAATCTCTCGGAGTCTTTGAGCACCACAGGGTTCTTTGGCTAACAGCTGCCTCCAGGAGTTGTATGTGAGCTGTCACATAGCCTTGCCCCAGGTGGCCCGGGCAGTCTCAGCATGCATCAGCGACGATCACAGCCATCATTTACAGGGCAGTTTCCACGTGCCTGGTGTTCTGAAAACACGGCATGCATGGGAGAGGCAAGTAGGTATAGTGGTTAGGGACGCTGTTTCAGAGCCAGACACATCCTGGCTCCACCGTGCCCAGCTGAGTGACTGGACAAGTGACTTCAGCCTGCAGAGACCCTGATTCCTCATCTGTAAAATGGGGGTGATGGTGAGCCCTGCCTCTGGGGCAGATACCACGAGCCACGTGTCGTCTGTTCTGAGTGATGCCTGGCAGGTGCCCCGTGCTCACTCGACTTCAGCACTGATCTCATTTAGTCCTGGAGACAACCAAGGAAGCGGAAACACAGCAACTGGCCCAAGGCCACACAGCTAGGAGGTGGGGGACACAGGGCTCTAACCCAGGTCTGCGTCGAAAGCCCACACGTTCACCACCTGCCTCTTGAGTTTGAAGCCTGTGTTTTGACTTGAAGCTGGGGGGACCAGAGATGGTTGGAGGTCAGGTGGGGACTGGACCAGAGATGGTTGGAGGTCAGGTGGGGACTAGTATCAACCTTCTTTATAAAAATAAGCAATACTTATTGAGTACCAGGCATTGTTCTGAAGAAAAGACCTCAAAAACTCACTCATAAAAAATTATTTTTTGAGTGGGCAAATTCTTGTATCTAAGTTCATGGTTTGGCTACTCTGACTAGTGCTGTTCAAGTCTGCCTCTTTTAAAGGGATCCCTGTCCAGGGATAGGGAACGAAGTTTGAAGAGATTCTATTCCAGAAATTAGAAGATATGCAGTCTGTCTCAGCCTGGGGCATTTATTAGCATCACAGGGCAGCTTTTGAAAACACCCATGCGGGGCTCCCATGCCCAGCCATTCTGATTTAATTGCTTTGGTGCAGAGCCTTTGGCATCTGTATGTTTTTAAAGCTCTCCAGTGATTGTGGGAAGCCAGTGTAAAAACGCTGGGTCAGAGGCTCTGGAAAGGAGTTTCTGCATTTTATGTGCATTCATATGAGTGGAAGGAGGTGGAGTTTGGGGGGACAGGGTAGGATGAGGGACAAGGTGACTTGTCAGGTGTGCAGGGAAGGATGCTGCCTGGGCTGCTGAGAAATGTGGGCAAAGCTGCCCCCTACTGGACGTCAGAGGCTGCAGCAGGGCCCAGCTTTGAGCCTGAAGCTGGGACAGTAAGGGGGGAGATGCTGAAATATGGTGTCAGGAATGCTGAGCGCATGTGGATGGTTAAGTCCTTAAATCACTGCCACGATGAGCTCAAATTAATCAGCTTCCAGCCCGAGGAGAGGAAGGAAGGTGAATGTGATGGGACCTGCCACATGGCTGACAGAGCCAGGCCTGATGGCGGGAGGCAAGATCGGAAGGCAGGGCCTGGGGAGGCAAGCAACCGGAATGTGCAAAGAGCATCCATTGTACAAAACGTCTCCTTGAGGGGGGCGACCCTGGGAAGACCACAGAGGGTCTCCTGGGAGACCTTTGAGAGAAGGAGCCCTGGGTATGGTGTCCTGTGGAGATGCCAGGATGGGAGCTTGCAGGACAGGAGCTGGGTGATGACAAGAGAGGCCATGGGCACAACCATAGCTGTTCTATCCACACCATGAGAGAAGTTGCTGGTAGGGTTGCCCGCTCTGCTCCAAGTGCTCACTGTAGCAGGAGAGTACCTGTTTGGCAAGGACCCCTCCCCAGGTCCAGTCTGTCCTTGGAGGCACACTCTCTTGGGACCCTCACTGCCAGTGGTGGAGGCTCCTGCCAGACCAGCTGTGGACCTCCAGAGGCATCCCACTGGGCTTTCGGAGTGCTGCTCGGGCGCCACCTCTGAGGGGAAATGCAGGAACCCAGACTCTTCCCCAAGCTGGAAGATCGTACCTGGAGTGCCAAACCTGGTGACCCTTGGTGTCACTTTGGGCCCCCTCTCAGGCACTCAGAGCCCTGAAGTGTAAGGCAGGGCTCTGGTCCTCACTGCGGCCTTGACGCAGGTTCTACTGAGGAGTTCCAGGCCTGACTGTCGTGTGAGAGGGGCAGTCTCCTCTAGAAAGTGGGCAGCCAGGAAAAGGAAGGAGCGAGGGACTAAAGGAATATTTGGGACTTGCCAGAACCAAGAGGCCAAGTAGGGAAAAGGGCCTAAATGCTTCAAAGGGCTCTCAAAGGCAGGAGATGGGAAGACCTGGCTTGAGGCAAAAAATGTCGTTGAGCATTTGCTGGAAAGCAAAGCCTCATTTCTTGCACGTTTATCCACACAATTCATCTGGCAGCAGGCCAGGGTCTTTTAGTTCCTATTATGTGCCAGGCATTTCCCACGCACTATTAGAGTTAATTTTTATAACAAACCTTCAAGGAGGTGATATGACAGGAGAGATGAGGAAGGAACCAGAAGCTTGAAAGGTTAAGGAACGGGCCCAAGATCACCAAGATGGTGGGAGGCAGGGCAAGGATCTCCAGCTGAGGCCTTCTAGTCCCTGATCACAGCCAACTTGCAGGGAGTGTTGGGCACTTCATGAGTGTTCTCTCGCATTTGAGCCTCGAGGGCCTGGAATACATTAGAAATGTGCTGATAGTAGCAGGGGTCTCCGTTTGGCCCGCTGGATGCCTAAAGGGGAAACAGAGGCTAGCTGTATTAAAATCGTACAGCTTGAAGTTTAGTTCTGTCCCTCTGTCCCTCTCCTGGAGTTATTATTAAAGGGCCCACGGGGGAGGCCAGAGGGGCAGGTAAAGCTGTTGATTAACCTGCCCTCTGTGCAGGCTCCCACTGGTTTTCTTTGCCTCCACTGAAAGAATAATAAGTAGCATTTTTTGAACACCTTCTATGTGATAAGCATGGGTTTTAGGAACTTTCACTTATTGCATTAATCCTCAAAACAACCCTGAAAAATAGGCATTATCTTACGTTTGAAGAGACTGAGACTGAGAGAGGGCAAATCACTTGCCCAAGATCACACAGCAATTTTTGTCGCAGCTGGGAATTCCAGCTCAGGACCGTCTGACTTCAGCACTTCTTGGAACCATCAAGTCCTGCACACGTACTGGTTGCTTCCAGGAAGGGAAGACAAAGGCAGACATGAGGAGTGGTTAGGCTCAATGCTGATCCCTTGTCCACTTCCCTCCAAGGCATTCAGCCACAGCTCCCCTGCCAACTGTCCTAAAAAGAAATTGTTTTGGCTGTCCAGGTCCCCTCCATAAATTGGAGCAGCATCTGGTCTTCGCAGAGAGCCAGGCGTTCCAGGAACCCATAACCGAGGGTCCGCATGACTCCTGGTTTGAACGAGCAGCTGCACCAGCTCTCCCGGGAACGTCTGTGGGCAAAGTCTTATCTGCAGACCAGTTATTCATTTGCCCAAATTAGGAGACCCAGGAAAATAGTTCTGTTTATAGGCCCCAGAGAGCATCTGAATCCCAAGTCTGCACCCCCTTCTTTAGTGTTCCAGTAAAGATGCGGTTTCCATGTGAGAGCCATGCTCCCCCCACCACCCAAGCACCAATGCTCATGGAATCCAGAGGAAGCCAGGACAGTGCATCCTCCCAGGCATCCACACTGGGGTGGGTGGGGCATCTCTGCCTTTGTATACTCCCCAATCCCGTGTCCAGAATCCATAAATCCACACCCTGCCGAAAACACAGTTCTTTCCTGAGTCATCAGAACTCACTAATGGCAAAAACCAGACCTGAATTTATGCTCTTTATTTATCCCTTTTAGTGTGCATATGCATATGTTTTGCTGCAGAAATCAAAACAAGTGAGTTTGGCTATGGTGGGCCGCTGCAGCCGAGTGTCATCTAATGTGGTATATGCATCACCTCTTCTTTCTAAAATCCCAAACATTGTGGAGTCTGGCCCCATGGGTTCCAGTTAAGGGGCTGTGGTCTTGCTGTTTTATAATGCACTGCTTTCAAGCAGGAAGGTCACCTCCTGACTAGGAAGCAGATGTCTTAGATTCATAAAGAAAGCCTTCCCAACCCTCTGTGGTCACACTTGGTGCCTGGAATTCCATCACCAAGGGCTTCATTCTTCTGTATTCTCTGAGAGGTGGATGAAACCAGAAGTCACATTTTATGTGGCTCAGTCCTTTCAGATTTTTCCTCTATGGGAGAAGGCAGCTTGTGACAAGTGGGTACTTATAGAGGGCCACCAAGTGCTACTGGGAAGGAAGATGGGACAGGACGGAGGTCTCAGACAAACCGCAGGCACTGGGTCTGGCAGACAGTCGGGCGGAAAGCCTGAGGGACAGACAGGTGGCGCTGGGGAGGGATCTAAACACAGCGTGGAGGCAGGCCGGGACGACGGGCGAGTTAGCCCGGGCTCGCATTGCTCACCGTCTCCGCTCTGTAGCCCACGAAGCGTAGCCATCTAGTGGCTTTCAAATTGCAGAAACCCTTTCCTCGGCAGGGGTCACCCGTGGCGGTCTGGGTCCGGACCAGGGGAAAGGCCCTGCACAAGGGCTCCGCAGCTCTCCAGGAGGGCCCGAGCAGGAACGGCGGGTGTCAAACCCGGTGGTGGCAAAGGTGCAGATCGCTGCAGGCGGCGCCACCCAGGGTGGACTGAGCGATCGTTTTCTGTTGGGCGTGGAGAGGCCCGGGGAGTCTTGGGCCGCGTCTCTCCCATTTTTGTGGGTTCCTGGTTATTTACAAACGGAGAAACCTCACGACAGGGTTACACACATTTCTGTCCATTTAAAGGTGTGCGTGGACCGCGCGGTCTTTCCGCAGCCCCGCACAGCGCGGGGCTCTTTGAGGGTCGTCGGGAGGCGAGGCGGGGCTGCCGGGGCGCCCCCTGCTGGAGGCATCCGGCCGCGCTCAGCCGCAGACTCAGGGCTGCTTGGGGCCGCCGGGGCTCTCACTGCGCCACATAGCGGCGGCGGCGGGAACGGCGGGGGCGCGTGGATCCGAACCCCTGCCCGGGCCTCCCGGCGGCGGAGGCGGCAAAGGGTTAAACTGTCAGCGGCGCGATGTTAAACAGGTGTCAAAGGCGCCCCATATATCTGCAGATTGAAATCAAATTCTTTGCCGTATAAAAAGATAAATTACCCAGGCGCTGCCGCGCGTCCCACTCATCACGCCAGCGCCAGACGGCAAGCAATTTTTTTTTTAATGTGCTAACGACCTAATCAAGCAATCAAGTCGGAGAAGATTGCAGAGTGACCCGGGCAGCCATCTGCCGGCGAGCCCCGCATTCATTTCCCGCGCCCCCGCGCGGGGTGGGGGCCGGGGAGGGAGCTGCTGGGGGGAAGAGGGGAAAAAATCCTAAACAAATTAACACCCAATTTTCCCCGTCTAATTAGTTAAATGAGATGTGTTTGGGGTCCCCCGGGGAGGGGGAGCGGCTCGCGGCGCGGCTCGCGCTGCCTCCCCAGCATTAATTAGTGCGGGTCAATGCCGCGGCTCCCGAGAGAGCAGCCGCTTTAATTTCCCGTGATATTTCAGTGCCTGAGGCCCATCGATTCAAACAGAAATTAACTTATTTTTCAATCAGCCCAGGGCTGCCCCTGGGGGTGACTCTTCTTTTGCCGCCTCCTGAATAGAGCTGGAGCAATTTTTCATCAGAAGCTGAAACCTCCGCCTCTGGGGGCGGGGGAGGGGCCCGGAGGGAAGGGGGCGGGGGACCCGGCCGAGGCGAGGGAATGGAAATCGCAGAGGAAACTAATAGATTTTCCTCGAACCCGCCTCCGTCCTCCCCCTCATCCCCCCTCCCCACTTCCCGGGGCGCCTTGGGCGTCTAGCCATCCGCGGGGGCTCAGGGCCCGGAGGGGCTGCGAGGGGACGGGAGGGGGCCGCTGGTCGGGCCTGGGATCCTTCCAGAGCCCACCGGTTTCTCGCCGGCCTTTCACCTGCCTGAGGGACAGTGCAGCTGTCCCTAGCGCTGGCTCCTGCCAGCTGCCGGAAGCCTCAGGAAAGCTGCTTTGGGAGACCGAGAAATCTCCCTTCCCCCAAGCATGGCAGGGACTGCTCCAAGCACGGGGCTGGAGCGCTGCTGACACCCCCCAGGGTACCCCGTGCCCTGCACCAGTCAGCTTTGGGGCCAGAGAAACATTCTCCAGGGTGTCCCCCACTGCACCCTCCTAGGTCTCCATCTCCCTTTCTTGGCACACCAAGAGAATTTTGTCTTCCTTGCCTGACTGAGGATGGATGCCCAGCTCCTCTGAATAGCACTCAGCGTTAGGTCCAAAACTGTGGGGAGCTGGTGAATGGAGGGCACTTTGGCAAAACAGGGCTTCGCCAGGACGGGGCTGAGAAAGGAGGCTGACTCAGGCCTCCCCGGAGTGTCCCTTGGGGCTTCCTGATACCTGAATGCCATGCCCTTTGCTGCCTGAGTTCACACTCAACCTGGCTTCTGGGACTGCTCGGCCTCTGGAGTTCTGGTAGAGAGGGAGCCCCAAACAAGATGCATGGCTAGTCCAGCCCCGGGAAGGAATGTGTTCCTCTGCAAGTCAGAAACGAGATTCTGTTTACAGACCGGAGGTGTGACCACCTGCAAGAGAGCTACGAGGGTGGGGCTTCTCAGCTGCAAACCGAGGACCATGCTGGGAACTGCCCACCTGCAAGACCCTATCCCGGAGGCCTCTATCCCATCACCCTAGAACTGCTTTGAATTAAAAAAGAAAAAGAAAAAAGAAAGGATCCATTTCACCCATCATGTTCTTACAGGACTGGGTGACCGCCTTCTGGGCACTCGGAGCCTAGAGGAACCCCGGGGGGGTGGGTACCATGGGTGGGGGAGCTTAAGTGAGGGCACCCTGACTGGAGAAACGAGCAGTCACAAGAGGATGCAGCAGCCAGCAATCAAAAGGGTGGGGACCTTCACAGGGGCCCCGCTGGGGTAAGGGCCTGGCCTCAGTGCCTCTCAGAACATACCCCTGCCCTGTTCATCCTCACTTGCAGGTCTGGTTCCAGAACCGCAGGGCCAAGTGGAGGAAACGGGAGAAGTGCTGGGGCCGGAGCAGCGTTATGGCGGAGTACGGGCTCTACGGGGCCATGGTGCGGCACTCTATCCCCCTGCCAGAGTCCATCCTCAAGTCCGCCAAGGACGGCATCATGGACTCCTGTGCCCCGTGGCTGCTGGGTAAGAGCCCGCACCCTCCTTGGGGCCCTGCCCCTGTGGTGAGGAGAGCGGGCTCCCTGGAGGAGGAGGAGACAGAACCCTGGGGCAGGGACACCTGGCCACAATAGCCTAGCAGGACAGAGGCACTCCAGAGTAGGCCTCCTAGTCTCCCTTGGGAGCCTCAGAGGGTAGGCTGGGCCCAGGGCTTGCTGTCTGTCCCCTGCGCCCCCCTACTGGGTGGTTCGGACTCTCATCGGCCAGGGCCCTGACTGTGGGTTCTTTCATCCTGTGAGAAGGGTGTGGCTGTAGCCCCAGGGTCCGTACCCTCTTCTTCCCTTGGCCAGAGGTGGGCTTGTGGTGAATGAAACAGCTCCTCTTGGGGGTTGAGGGGACCCACTAGGACCCTCTGGCCACCATTCTGGCTTTGCCCAAAGGACCGCTTCCCCCTGAAATCTCTCCACATGCCATCTTCCCCCCACCTGCCCTCGGGGCCTAGGTCGGTTGCAGCACCAGCTCATCTTGGGGTTCCAAGATCTGAATCCCAGGAGGGAGGGATGGGGGGCAAGTAGGCTTGGGAAGGGACAGAGCAGGCTGCCCGGTGGCCAGGTGCCCAGGGACCTGACTTGAAGAAGCCCTCTGCAGGCCTGGTGCCCGGCTGCTGGCCTGCAGCCCCATCCCCTGGCCACCCTCCCGCTGCCCCGGCCCCAGCCCCTGGGACTCGCGTGACTGCGGTGTGTGAAGTAAGGCTTTCTGCTCGTCCTTAATTCTGGCCTCTCTCTATCTTTGCCGTTTTCAGTTCAAGATGGCTTTCCCAGGCGCTTTTCTAAACCCGAATACCAACAATTCTTTTTAGGGATGCACAAAAAGTCGCTGGAGGCAGCAGTGGAGTCGGGGAGGAAGCCCGAGGTGGAGCGCCAGGCCCCGCCCAGACTCGACAAGATGGAGCAGGAGGAGCGGGGCCCCGACCCTCCAGCGGCCATGTCCCAGGAGGAACTGAGAGAGAACAGCATTGCGGCGCTCCGAGCCAGAGCTCAGGAGCACAGCACCAAAGTGCTGGGGACTGTGTCTGGGCCCGACAGCCTGGCCCGGAATGCCGAGGAGCCAGAGGAGGAGGAGGCCATGGACGAAGACAGGCCAGCGGAGAAGCTGAGTCCACCACAGCTTGAGGACATGGCTTAGATCAAGGGCTCGCGGGTACCGAGCCCCAGGACTCTGCTGTCCCCGGGGCCTGTGGTGTTGGGAGGTGTTCTCTGAGGCAGGTCTCAGGCCTGGCCTTGGCTACCCTCCCCCTGCCCCACAGGCCCCCTATGACCCCTGGGCTGACTTCAGGCACAACTCAGTTCTGGCCAAGGCTTTGGGCCCTGCTGAGGCACCCCCGCTGAGGCACCCCCGCTGAGGCACCCCCGTCTAGTCTTGACCTTCTCCAGCACCCTCCTCATCTCAGCAGCCCTGCTGCCCAGGCCACCCCCTCAAGCCACTTTCATTCAATTCCTTGGCGACTCTCACTGTCCAGATCCACCCCTCACTCTCTGTTCTCTTGCTTGAAAGAGCCTCCCCTCCCCAGCTCTATGCCCCCTGTGGATTCTGCTCTGCCCGGGGCCCAAAGCCCACTGCTGCCAACTCATTGCCTGCCACAACAGTGTCAGGGACTGAGCACCTGCACTCTAGTCCCGACGTCCTGAGCCCCCCAGTCCTCAGCAAAACTGTGCTCCCCGGCCTGTTCCTTCCTGAGGGCCTGGGCCTGGGCCTCCAGAGTGTGGCTATACTGCCCTACAGGTCCAGGCCCAGCCTCTGCCCCACCCCCTCGATGGGGCCCAGATTCCAGGTGAAACTTGGAAGGTGTCATCCTGAGCCCCTCAGCCCCCCTCCATATCACGCCCTCTGCAGTCACCCTCAGGAGCCTGCCCGCCCTCTCCACCCCCAACCTGCCCCACCATCCCCCACAGCATGGCTGCCAGCACCACACGTGGCCACGGACAGTACCTGTAGAGTCCGGGGCCTGTGCCCTGCAGCCAGCGGGCCCCTGTCACAAATGCTGTGGTCAGGGCACTGGTGGGGAGGCCAGACTCTTCCCCAGAGCCCTTGGGCCTGCATTCTGAAGCATCCTGACTGCCCCGATAGGCTACCTGTGACCCTAACTTGCTGTGCAAGACACCCTTCTAGAGCTTCTTGCAGTTTATCGGTGCGCATGTGTCCTGCCTTGGAGCAACCCAATCCAACTATAAAATGAACACATAGGAAGCCACAGATCTTGGCTCGACTTGATCCGGGCCATCCCTGGGAGGCCAAGCCTGGAACGGGCCTGGGGCTATTCTAGGCATCAAGGAGTGGTCACAAGAAGGGTACAAGAAAAGGGCTCAGAGGAGAACAAAAGGCAGGAGCCAGGGTTAGACTCAAAATGAGCAACAGGCACATGGCCCTGCCAGGTGTATGCTGTGGCGTCTGTCCACGAGAATAGGATGGACGCAGTGACCGTGTAGGAATAGGGGACTGGGGGCTTCTTCCTGTTTGCTGATGGGAGGAACCGCCCACACGGATGGCCTCTCTGCAGCGGCCCCCTCCACCCCAAGGCCAGGCCTATGGCTCCCTCACGCCCTTGACATTTCCCTCCACCATCCCACCCACGTTTGCAGGGAATACCTCGCAAGAGAAAGGCCTGAGACAGTGAGTTTGGATTTTAATTCCATATCAAAAGTTGATTTCTTCCTCATTCTGTTCATGGAACCCCCATCTTCTCCTTGTCTTTGTCCCCTGTTGGTTTGAAGTGTTAGAGACTGTAGCCCCCAGTGTGTAAATACTGTACATAGAGTGGGAAGAAAGAAACTTGGTATTGAGGTGTTTGAAATATGGAACTGTAATAACTTCTAGGTATTCTAAACCTGTGATTTCTGTGCCATTTTCTGTAAAGATACAAGTAAGAATAAAATTGATGTAAAAACATCAGGGGAGGGATCCAAGAAGCCTCCATGGGTGAGGATGGCTTGTGTGTGGGTAGCATAAAAAGTAGATCCATGAAGACATTTTTAAGTCAAAATTACCAGATTCCTCTTTTGAAATGACTCCAGCTGTAAAGGCATAGGGGCCTGCCTTTCTCCACTGAGCTGACACCACCTTCCAATGACATTTGTCCTGTGATATGAGACCCTCCTCCATTGTAGACACAACAGAATTATCCCAGCCATTGAGCCCCTAAGTTATTACCTACAATGCCCTCCTGCTCCCCACACAACGGATTATTAACCTTTCCCTCTGGTACTTAACTTACTTACTAACAACCCTATTTCCTTCACACCTCATCCCCCCTCGGCCCCCAAGAGTCCTGACTCCCTCCTTTTGTGTACACGTGTGCACTCTAAAATCTTGCCTACAACTCAAAGACAACAACAACAAATGGGACAGGCAGTGGCATCTGGAACTGAAAGTCAAACAGACCTATGCTAAAGAGAAGGCAAGTAAACGAGAGAAAGCGTGGGGCAGGACTGCAAGAAATTGCCTGCAGAGGGCTGCGACCCATCAGCTCCACGATATGTTGGACGGAATTACAAGAAGAGAGGGAGGGAGCAGACCAGATAGGTTATATTTGAGCTTTGGGCTCAAGAAATCTCATAAGATTGTTTCAAATTGCCTCAGATGGGGAACTCCTTCTCAGAAGAGATTTTTCTGGCAGGCCATCATCAAAGGAGAGTGGCAGGTGGTCAGCAGTCCCCGCACCCTGCAATTGGGAGCCGGTATAATCCTTCTGGACCCAGAGCCTGGAGGGCACATGTGAGAAATCTCCAACTTTTATGCAGTGAAGGGACAGATCCAAGAGCCTGGCTTCAAGTTCTGCCCACGCACACTCCCCTAGGGCTTCCCTGAGCATGTCAGGTCCCCACAGGTCTCACTGTGGCCTGTTGGCTTAGGAATGCCCTTCCCCGACCCCCTGCCCATGGGCACCACTCCAGGAGACTCACTGATACTTATCCCTCAAGTCCTCTCCTCCCTGGAGCCTTCCTGATCTTCCAGGGAGAGTTTATAACCTCTGTTCTCCCCCAGCACTTGGGACATTCTGCCATTATGGCGTGGTGTGTATTGTACTGTACGTCTTTAATTTACTGATTTCTTCTAGGGTGGGGATTGTATCTTATTCATCTTTTATCCCCAGGAACCATCAAAGGGCCTGACAATCTACTGTTGAATGAAGGAATGAATGTTCTTCCTCTAACTCGTCCATTCAATAATTTAAAAACATTTATTGAGCATCTACTGTGTACCAGGCAGTGAGGCAAGGCACTGGGGATACGGTGGGGGCCAAAGCATCTTACTTGGAGGGAAAGATAGATAGAAATCAAGTAAACACACAAGTGAAATACAAAATTGCACATGTCCTAAGGTCTTGGAGGCACGAGATAAGGGGCCATGAACGCATGTCCGTGGGACTTGAGTCAGGGTGTTGACCTCCGTGCCTCTCTCCTGGGAATGATAACGTCTGCCCCTCCAGGGTCGTTCCTCTGGTGAGGAAGCAGCAAGGATGTTGGCCAAGGAGCCACATGAGGGAAGCGTGGCCACACCAACTTCTCAAGTCCAGTGGCCGACGTTGGCAGCTGCCCCCCTCGGTTACATCTGGGGGACGACTGGGACACCGAGGGATTTGGGAAATGACAACCACCCAGGGGGTTGACCTTGGGGAGAGGCACACTGCTTTCTGCAGTGGGGACAGGCAAACAAGCCCAGAGGTAATCAGTGAAGGGAGAGGTGGGGACACTGCAGAGGGAACACACGGGCCAGGAAAGGAAGGGCTTGGACAGCCGGGGACGGAACAAAGGGAAATCTCCCCAAGGATCCCACAACCCGGCACCTGGAAGGGAGACCTTTTTCCAGGCTTCCCAGGCCCAGCAGGCTGCCCAGAGAGGGCTGCATGCGCCAGCAAGAGCAAGAAAGTGATGTAAGGGCAGGGGGACTGATGTATGCGGGCTGCTGAGCATGACCAGGCAGGGTTAGATGAGGAGTCCGCCTGGTGGTGGGAGGTGACAAGCGAGGGCAGGAGATCGGAGGGACCCCTGGGGACGGGTCCACCTAGCCTCCTCTGTCTCCTGCACCCCCAGCTCACCAGGGCCTTGAGTCTTCCTGCTGCTCCCAGCAGGGCGGGCAGTCCCCTCTCCTCCCTGACTTCCCTTGGGGCCTCGGGCTGTGGCACCAGGTCATCAACAGCAAAGGTACCATACTCAAGGGAGATGTTAATCATAAGGAAACCTGGTGAGGGGCTGATGGGAACTCTCTGTGCTGTCTTCACATTTTTTCTATAAATCTGAAATTATTGCAAAAAAAATTAAGTTTATTTAGAGGAAAAAAAAAGGTAAACTGGTTTGTTTTCTAGAGGGAAGACGACAGAGGGCTTCTTTGGGTTAGAACAAGTGTCAGAGCTGCCTGTTTTCCTGTCTTTACCCCAGGGCTCTGCTTACTGAGTGTCCCTGCCCCAGATCTCCCCAAGATCACCCAGGCACCCAAGACCCACCCTCTGGGGAGCTGAAACTGGGTCAAGAGCCACTGGCCTCAACTCGTTCTGTCTCCTGTTGTTTCCTCAACTCAGGCAGCAATGAAGTCTGTGGGTCGTCACAGCTGAGGGGGCCCAGCAGTGATCTGCTCCATTAACTTCTCACTCAGATCAGTCCTTTCCAGTGCTAACTCTTCTCAGTGGGCCTCAGCCTCCTCTCCGCTGAACTCCTCGCCTCGGAGCCAGGGCGCCCCCAGCTTTACCTGCAAGGCTCTGCTCCCAATTTGGACTTCAGGGGAGTCTGACACAGGAAGGAGTCAGGGAGTGACAAGCTGGCCTCCTGTTGAGCTGCAGAATGGCAGAAGCTGTCCAGTGTACCTACAGCGTTGATGGTCACCTCTCAGCCTCGCTTGGCGCTCAGGAGGCCCAGAGAACAAATGTGGATCTACCAGGCTGACCATGGTGAGCTCAGATGGGAGAGGGAAGAAGAGGGAAAGTTGCTCTGTTTCCCCCACACAGCCCCCATGACGGTAGACCAGGGCAGTTCTTACCTCCCCAGAAGTAGAAGCAAAGAATTAAAAACCCAATCTGGGCTCAGCCAACAGACCTTTGCAGTTGAGCTGACGACTCAGGAGTGTGACTGATGGGCGGATTAATGAACAAGAAGCTATTAAGACAAGTGCTGAGCTGAACCGGGATAGATACAGGAGAACGTTGGAGGACCAGCATGACTTCCAACAAGAGCACCACTTTGTCCTCCTCACACACTTCTGTCCACCCGAGGGTTCCACGCAGGAGGAACAAGAGCCCACAGCCCTCCTCCAGGTAGGGACCACCCCCGTGGGTCAGCCAGGCCCACCGCCCAGGGAGACAACCCCAGGAGAAGAGTGCCGCCTAAA